ATACTAATAATATAGACCTTATTTTTTCTCTACTATCAAATATCTAATTCCTCTTTTTTTACTCTATATATACTATCCATTTCATTGTTAATGCATTATCCACCAAGAGTTCATTTATGGCTCTTGCATTCAAAGTTGATCCGGATTTTTCCAATGTCGTTGACGAAGCGCTTTATGCAATTCAAACAGTGAGTTCATCTAATATTTTATTTCTAATGTTCTATTAGTTTATTTCATTTCTCTTTATAATAATTTTATTATATTTGTAGATATATGAATTTGCAAGAAAAGGAATTTACCCAATAAATGTTGGTTTTGCTATTAGAATCATGAAATCCACTGAAGCATTATTATCTTATATTTTCGATGATCCAGAATCTGTTTATTGTGAAATAAGTTTTTTTCACAATTCTTGATACTCCTGGATGGGAAGATTATGCATCAGTAATGGCGCAAAGATATTTTGATAAGTACAAATCAATGTAAGGAATTATCTAATATTTTTCTTTATAACAAATTTTATTAATTGACTAATTGTACTTTATTTACTATAGACCTCAGTGGGCAAGGGAATGGGAGTTTATTCCAAATGTGAAACCTTATATTGCGGATGTTATATCAGATCGAATTAAACAATTCGAGAAAGTACGCGCAAAGTACGACCCTGATAGGATTTTCTTTGATAATAAGTCTTTGCAAGATATATTTAGTGATGCTTTATCTTCATAAAATAATAAAGGCTCAAGGAAAAAGAAAAATTAATCACGATACTATGATTAGTTGTAATCTAATATTTCGTAGAACTAAGTAATTGATCATAAAGTGTTTTATAAATATAGATTAGTAAAGTTATGTATGATAATATTTGATTAAATAAATATAGTATGCCAATATGATAGAAAGTCCAATAAACTACAACAAAAGCAGTTATCATTATAGAAGGTCTTGGAATATATAAAGTAGTAAAGTAAATGTATAGGATATTTATTAAGTAGTGTTTTGATTTTAAAAAACTTGAGTTGATTAAGTTTAAAATTTATAAGATTATATAAAATAAAGCTATATAGATCTCTAGTCTATTTGTTAATTAAGTGAAAACTATTCATTATTGTATTTTTGAGATGATTATATTACTAAAATATAGGGTTTATAAATAGTTTTAATACAATATCTAGATACTGATTATTTTTCTATTGCAAGGTATAGAATGGATTATAGATATTAGTATAGTTAAAATATAATAATGTTTAAGATATATTAAATTGTTAAACATATTATCAATATGAATTTAAACTTTATAAAAAATAAGATGTAGCTTAAAAAATTAAGTTAAGAAATATATGCTACAAATACTATAAATTAAAATTTAAAAGTTTGTTAAAGTTGATAATAGTAGAGTTTAGTTTGATAAATTTGAAAATAATAGATTAAAAGTTTGTGAAGATATTAATAAAAAAATTGTGAAGAGTAGTTAGAATAGTAGATAAAATAGATAAAAGTTTAGCTTTATATAAAATTTGGTTATAAATAAATTTTAGCAAATAATTTATAAATTATTTAGTTATTATTATCTATTTAAACTCAGCTTATACTATAAAGTACTAGTTAGTATCTATATTAATAACTAATTCATCTATATAGAAGTTAAAAGTATTTTTAGATTGGGTTAAATAATGAAATTTTAATATTTGTCTATTTTGTTATTAGAATATAAAATTTCTGATATAGCAGTATAAAAAATAGAAATAGATAGTATATATAGAGTAAAAAAAGAGGAATTAGATATTTGATAGTAGAGAAAAAATAAGGTCTATATTATTAGTAT